GTAACCCTCGATTCCTCAACTGCTGCACTAGAGCCCCCAGCCTACAACGCTTGAAACCGCTTGAAGTGCTCTCATCGGGAAAGGGCATCGGCCTTGATAAAGAGAACTGTTCTTATGGTGGTGATAGTCATACTGATAAGTTTAAAAGCACGACTTAGTCATCACACTGGTGACAACCCATCGCAACTGGAAGCAGCATCATGGGCGTGATGATGAATGACCATTACTGCACCAACAATCATGCTAGTAAAAAAGTACTACGAATACGAATAAATCCAGAAAGTGTGAGCGCAATAAGCCAAAGATGCAATCCTACTGGGAAAATCATAACACTTGCTCATAAATGCTACTAACACTAGCTAACCATGAATATTGCAGGGGGAAGAAGGACACCTATACTAATTTCCATGGCGCTCAGAATTGCCCTAAATAATATCAAATGATCCAAATCACTCACAAGACTACGAACGCAAAGAAGGACTGGAAGAAGAGCCTTGGCTCCAGGGATCCGCGTCCGCCCAAGGATCTTCCCTCTTCGGGGAGCCTGGCGACCCGGCTTCTGCCCGAAAACGGGGTTTAAGGTTCAGGCTTTAGGGCTTTAGGGTTTCAGATTTTATAGGGCTTCGTGTTTGGGGGTGCAGGAAGGCATACGGGTGACAGGGTTTTGCAACTATTTTGTGGAAGGCTGAAACAGGGTGTTATAGAAGGTGCTTTAGGGTTTGCTTTTTCATTCACGCTTTGTGGGTTCTATGGAAGTCTTATTGAGGGGATCTCATTAAAGAGTTTGCAAAGCTTTATAGAGCTCTTTCATGTTGCAGAATTGTCGCTGATCTACGACTCTAGGATCTAAGAGGGTTTGCTGATTGCAATGTGTGTAAGGGCTTTGGGACTGTCGTTTTCCTTTTCGGGCGTCAAGAAAAAAGTTTATGAAACCTGGATTCTCTAGAGTTCCTGAGTGCTCCTCAATATTTGTAATTAGGTTTATAAGTTTCGGTTCCCTTCAAAGCAGGTTCTTGTAGCTACAGGTAGGCACTAACAGAGGTTTCCTTCAAAGCAGGTTCTTGTAGCTACAGGTAGGCACTAATAGACTCCAGGGCTTTTAGCTTCAAAAGATCAGGGGCTTTGGGGGGGTGGGGGCTCAGGGTGCAGTTCTAAGCAGGAGCCCACAATTAAGAGTCTGTACGGGGCGATTGTGTACTTAGTCGCAAACTAGGCGCTGAAGGTCTTTGATCCTAGTTGCCATGGTCAAACGGTAATCATCTAATTGGGTGTTGGCTGAAACTTCAACCTTGAATGCTCGGAAAGTTCGGAAAAAAGGTGCTGAGGCTGTTGATCGACACCACTACCTGAGAGCAGTGGCCTGGTTGGAGAGCAGTTTCTGAATGACTCTGACTCGACACCTTGCAACAGCTAATCGGAAAATGGCCTGCGCTCGCAAAAGCGGAATGTGATGGAGGCCACAACCCTTTGCATAGGCTTTTGCCAGGGAATTCTGAAGTCGAAGCCTGAACTGCCTGGAATCATGCAGCTGCAAACGCGCTTTTGGTCTCATTCCGCGGCACTGACTCTTTTCCTGCTTCGTGGCTGTGCGACCCACGCAAAGTGGGGGTTTAGGTACTCCCTTTGGCACAGCTAGTTTCTCTTAATCTTTTAATTGGAAACCCCGATGGTTGCCCTGATGTTCTCAGGGTTCAACTTGCAAGCGTGCCATTAACATCCTAGACCCAAAGTCATAAACTCTACTCAGCTCATCTAGTCCAAAGGCCCCAAGCCCTACTTGGAGGATCAGGGGACTTAGTAACTAAGGTTATAAATAAGGTAACTATACTTATAAGTAATTATAACCCCAATTAAGGTAACCTTACTTACTAAATCCCATGATCCTCCAAGTGCCTCCCTTCAGATCAGCTCCCGGATGCCCTCGACCAGCAGCGCGACTTCGGCGAGAGCTTGACCCAATCTGCGCATCTGCGCCGAAGGGCCTTGCTGCTTACGGCTATCGTGGCCTTGTCTTTCTGTAGGTTTGGGGCCTATAAGTTGAGGGTTGAAGGGTTAGGTTCAAGGTGGTAAAAAGCTTCTTCTTCTTCTTGCTGTGCTCTAGACCGTCAGGTGCTGCAGTTACAACAAAGTCATTTAGGCGCTTTCTTCCCACCCGCTAGGCAGTGAAGCACTGCACTCTAGGGTATAGGGATGGATATTTAGAAACGGCTAGGAAGTTTATGGTTGGTATGCGAGCCTGCTCAATCCTACAAAGTGCACATAAGGTGAACCTCGCGGGCTCAAGCCCGAATTTAGGAGTCAGCGAAGCTCTAGCAAAAGCACTGGATCTGACAGAGGCTCTGTAGCTCGAGAGGCCCTCTTTGATCGAAACTGGAACAACCTTGATAAATGTAGGGGCCTTCAGAATTAGAATGAGGTTTTGGGGTATATCGTACTATACTTATGATAAGGAAACACCCAAATCGTATACGGGTCTGTATGCAGCATCGCCGCCTGGCACCGACCAGCACAGCTCTATCGGCATTTCATTGGCGCTCCAATATCTGCGGCACTATGAAAATCGCGGCGCCGGCCGCGACCACAGTCAAGCTTCCAAGGTTTCTACAAACAAGCCGGCTTCTGAACAGCCCCTTGCAAGATGAACTTGCATGCCAAATCCTGCCTTGAAGCCGAAACTCTACAACCAAATCCGAAGCTGACAGTCAAGAGCTTAGCTCATCCTTCCCGGTGGCTGCCCATCATTCGAATCTTGACCGCGGGCGGGAATGTCGCATCATACACCACCGGTAAGGACATCTTACCTGGCGATGCGTACATATGCACATGGCCACAAGTGTGCAAGCCTTCAAATGGGCGAAACTGGCATACTGACATGAACGCTTGCAGACCTACAGTTTTGAGTAGAGGCACATGTGCAGGTAATGTTTCTTGACATGTGACTGTGTGTGCGTGCATTGGATAGCATGTATGGCTTCATGGAGTGGCCCAAAATCTGTGCTGAGGCACATGACTGGCCGTCCACGCGTCAGCTCGACCATCGCCTTCACGCTCCAGATGTATAGGCCCAGTGGCCCTCCGGTTCCTTTGACGCATTTAAGGCTGTAGAGCTCAGGCTTTGAGGATGCAGGCCGATGGTAGAGTCTGGTAGAGTGTCCGATATTCCTGAAATATGGCTTTGTTGTATACTCCTTTGTTCTTCTGATTCTTCTGACTTGGTTCGGCTTGGTGTGTGATATGCAAGATACACATCCCGGGCTGGAGTTGTCTCTGTGTGCGCGCGTGCGACGGCGTATGGCTCATGTGATGTGATGACTTCTATGACGACTTGCATTCATGTGGGATTCCATGCAAAATCTGCCAAACAAGGTTGGCCCGGAGATTCTCATGATCTCGATCGGGATGTAGATGCATAGATGCGTACGGTAGATACGTAAATACGCACACACGATACCATATCATGCCATACCACACCAAGCCATGCGCCATGCCGTACCCTACAGTACAGTACAGTACAGTACAGTACAGTACAGTACAGTACAGTACAGTACAGTACAGTACATACACATAATCCGAGGGTCTGATATACAAAATGGTCCACATTTAAAGAAAATTTGGGGGGCCGGATTGGGGTCCAAAGAGGAGTTTCCATTGCGGCGGGATTTCGTCTGGTGAA